ACGTGAAATTTTTATTTGTATAGAAAATCCTAAACCTCTGTTCATATGAAAATTCTAGGCAGAAAAATATAATTAAAAACAAATAATTTTGTTGAGAGAAATCCTGATCTAGTATCTGCCTGTTTTAGAGGAATTCCTGTGATACATGAATATGACACAGTAGAGCTTCTCCACCCCACCAAGAGCTAGGTTATAAATATCAAATACTTAATTTTAATGAAGCTAAGTCTCTAAATTATCAGAAATTATGATAAAAATAATTGGGTAAATCTCTAGGATGATGACAGTATTGTGACATGTGCAAATGATGTTCTAATGTGGCAGTCAGGTGAGGACTAGATGGTTTACATTTTGAAAAATGTATGTTGAAATATATATTTAAGATTGTGTGCAAGGTCAGTGACCTTGTCATAAAATATAGTGAAAAAATCAAAATAACAGTAATGCCATTTGAGATCCATTAAATTCTGAACTGCTTCAGCCTTGGAAGTTTTCTGACATGTAATGACAGTGCAGCAGGCAATTAACAAAGAAGTCGGGGACTTTGCTGTGGCATTATGCATAAGTGTGGTTAAGCCTGAGAAATAATTTTCCAGTTAAACAGTAGCCTAGTTGCCTGTGAGCAGAAGTCAGTTCCAAAGTTGTCTAAAGCCAAAACATGAATGCTCCACATCATTACTTTGTCTTTTTAATGAAAAAGGAACAACAATAGATATAGAAAATGTTTTGTTTGTTTGTTTGTTTGTTTTGTTTGTTTTACACTTTTCTCCATAATTGTATTTTTGTATGTATCCATAATCTATTCCTGTACTTGCTTTAGCCCAGTTTTAAGGGAAGAGGTGGTGGCATTTACTGTTTTTCAAACTCAGTCTGCATGTATTCTTTTAAGCACATTAATAAGTAATTTTGCAGAGAAGCCTTTGAACTTACAAGAAAAATATCACTAGTAATACATGTAATCACTGAGAACGTTGTATGTACTTCCAAACTGATTTTCTATTATTTAAATAACATGAGCATGAGTTTTGTGGAACAGATGTTTGTGTAGAAGAGTAAATTTCAAGAAGATATCGAGAATTACAAGAAAATAAATTAACAGTGCAGATATCCATGAATAATGGTATCTAGGTGTTACCCCTTTGGATGAAGAAGAGAAACAGCTCCTGTCTTCTTTCCAGTCAAAAACAACCAGTCACTTGAACCATGAGTAGTAAATACCTCCAGTGAATTACTTTTATAATTCATTGACCATGAACTATTTCATAAATTATTCTGAAAATAAAATAATCAAATCAAGCAATAAATTATATTTGATATAATCAGAAAATGTTTCATGGCTGATTTGCAAGAGAAAGTCTATATTGATTAGTTAAATTATTTTTTGTGAATTGTTAGCCCAGGTTAAATTTCCAACTCCTCCAAGGCTTAAACTTGTACATATAATAGTTTCCTGGGTAGTTCCAGGTTTTGCAGCAGCCTTTTCTCAAGCTGTTTGTGATTTATATGCTTTTAAAAATATATATTAATATATCTGTAACATACATATTTCAGTTTGTACTGAGGCAGGATTTTGAGACCTTTACTCTTTTGGATCATTAATACAGGTGTAAATGAACCAAAGCCCACGGCTGGATGTAGTGATCCTGACTAGAAGGCTACCATGCACTGAGGAGCAGGTGATCCATGCCAAGGTAAACCTGAGTTTGCCCAGGCCTGCCCTGTTCTGTGTTTCCTGTGCTGTGTGGCCAGTAGGCTTGTGCTGGGGGGCACAAATCCTTTGACCTGGGGCAAACTCAGCCAACTCCTTCCAATTCCTTGTGATAGAGGAGCCTGCGGGCAGCTTCTGCTTGGTACCAGTGATTACAACTGCTCTGTGGTTTTGCCTTTATCTAACTGAGCAGCAAGAAGTTCTCATGAGAACATCACCTCTGCATAACATTAGAAATGATTAATAGAGTTATTTTTTGTAAGAAAATCATGTAGTAGCTCAACTGACTGAAAGGGTAGAATATGCTATGAACCAAGCCTACTCAACATGGATCAGAGGTCTCAGATGCCACACTGCCTGGGGTTCCCAGCATCTAAGGAACATAAGATTATCTCTATCTTTTTATTGTGTTAGTTCTAATAAACAGCCTTGTGAATGACACCTTCCTTACAGGGATTCTACTTCTCTGTGTCTGCATGCGTATTAAGTAGAATACATAGAACCATAGAATGTTTTGGACTGGAAGGGACCTTAAAAAACATCTAATTCCAACCCCCTGCCATGGGCAGGGATATCTCCTACTAGATCAGGTTGCTCAAAACCCCATCCAACCCAGCCTTGAACACTTGTCTGGACCTGTTTGTGCAGAGAAGCTGTGGATGACCCAACCACAGGCCTCCCAAGGACCAAAAGAGATGTCCAGACCCTTAGTTCCAGGGAACTCCAGTTTCTGGAAGTTCCCACGTCTTGAAGGCAGAGGGTTTAAGTGTGGGGTTTAAGTGGGTGTAAATGTGCCCAGCTGGATGAACAGGTGGCTCTGCTTCAAGAGGAACTCACTGGACAACATAACACCCAAGAATCTGAGCCAAAGATATTCGTATTATATGCTGACACAGTCAGAGCTACAGCCCTCCCTTAAGTACTGGCAAGGGGAAAGTAAAAAAGCTTTCAGCCCTGTACATTTGAAAGACTCACAGGACAAGGAAGAGTGGACCCTTGTCTTTGCTCAGAGCCATAGGAGTCTCCCCCTTGTCCCTGAAGGCTCCCATGGAACAGATACAATGCTCCAGGGCAGGAGAGGAGACTCTGGGAGTAATAGTAAAGACCTCAGAACAACCAACCACACAGAGTTGATGTTAGAAATTGGAGACTCCTCTCTGAGAGGCACTGAGGCTCCCTTTCACAGTCCAGATAATCTCTCCAGAGAGGTTTGCTGCCTGCCTGGGGCCCATATTTGTGATATTATGAAGAGGCTACTAAGCCTGATGGTTCCCAAAGACCCCTTTGTATTTTTTCATGTAGGATCAAATGAGGCTGCAACAAGAAGACTCTGAATTATCAGAATGGACTTTATGTCACTTGGAAAGATGCTAAAAGTGTCAGGAGCACAAATAGTGTTCTCCTCTGTCCTTCCAGTTGGTGACTGGGATCCAGGAAGAAGATGAACAGACCATGGGAATGATTGGCTGTGAGGCTGGTGCTGTGCCCAAAGATTTGGGTTCTACAACCTTGGACACACTTTTGAGGGACCGGGAATGCTGACACCAGATGGGGCACAGCTGACCAGGTGGGGCAAAAGTGTTCTGGGCAGTATGCTGGCTGGGCTTATCAGGAGGACTTTAAATGAGATGCAGCAGGGGAAGGAGATGTATCTCTGAGTGATGGAAGCAAACCTGAGGACATTGTCAGTTTAGGAAGCAACAGTAAAATAGTTGTGAACTGTCCCAAAGCAATCAGCTGGGGTTCTTCTGGAAATGTGATGTGACCAATAGCCCAGCTGATGTGCCTCTAAACCAACACATGCATCATGGGAAAACAAGCAGGATGAGTTGGAAGCTACAGTGCAATTAGACAAACATGTACTAATTGCTATCATGGAAATATGGTGGGACCGATCACACAACTGGAACTGGAATAGAGGACTAGAAGCTTTTCAGAAGAGAGAGATGGGGAAGGAGGGGCAAGGGTGTTGCCCTCTATGTTAGGGAAGTGATTGACTGTGAAGAGCTGCCTCTGAGAAACAGCCATAGACAGGTTGAGAGTTTGTGGGTAAAAGTTAAGGACCAGACCAATAAAACATACCTTGTGATCAGGGTCTAATACACCTGACCAAGGAGAGCCTGTGGATGAGGCCTTCTTACATCAACTACAAGAAATGTCACACTCGCACACTCTCATCCTAATGCAGGACTTCAACCACAGGGATGTCTGCTGGGAAAGTTATGCAGCAGGACGTAAGCAATGCAGGAGACTACTGGAGTGCATTTAAGATAAATTCCTGGTACAGGTATTAGACAAACCAACCAGAGAAGAATTACCAGACCGGGTGCTCACCAATGCAGATGAACCCATTAAAGAAGTTAAGATTGGAGACAGTATAGGCTGCAGTGACCACACAATGGCTGAGTTTGTTATCTCAAGGAATATGGGCCTGGCTAAGAGCAAAGTCAGAACCCTGAAATTCTGAAGAGCAAACAACAACCTATTTAAAAACATAGTGGATGAGATCCCCTGGAACATTGTCATCAGGGACAAAGGAGCTGAACAGAGCTGGCAACTCTTTGATGATGTTTTCCTTAGAGTACAAGAACTCTCCATTCCTCTGTGTAAGAAGGCAGGCAGGGAGGGCAGAAAACCGGTATGGCTAAGTCAATCTGAGACAAAAGAAGGAAATGCACAGGCATTGGAAACAGGGCCCTGTGGCCTGATGTCCTGATTTTGGCTAGGATAGAGTTAAATTTCCTCCTGGTAGCACCATGTTTTGGATTTAGGATGAAAATAATGCTGATAATGGACTGATATTTTACTTGTTGCAGAGCAGTGCTTACACTAAGTTAAGGACTTTCCAACTTCTGGGGATGTGCTTCCAGTTAGGAGGCTGGGGTGCAGAAGGAGCTGGGAGGGGACACAGCCAGGACAGCTGGCCAAGACTGGCCAGAGGGATATCCCACACCAAATGACATCATGTTGAACAATTAATATGGGGTGGCTGTCTGGGATAGGGGGGAGAAGGGGAACATTGCTCAGAGATTGGCTGGGCATCAGTCAGGTGGTGAGCAATTGCATTGTGCATCACTTGCTTTATACAAATTATTATTATTATTACTGTTATCATTATTGTTATTATTATTTATCTTTCTTTTCTGTCCTATTAAACTATCTATATTTCAACCCACAGGGTTTTACTTTTTTTTTTTCCCAGTTCTTTCCCCCATCCCACTGCATAGGGGAGGGTGAGAAAATGGCTGTGCGATGCTGAGCCTGCCAGGTTAAACCACAACAGTCCTTTTACCAGGGGAAAGCACGAACAAAGTCCCCCACTACCACAAATTATGCAGTCAGTTTTCTTCATCTGGGGAAATCAAAGGGGTCAGCACAAAGGAGTGCAGGGGATGAGCCTCACTCTGGGAAAATCACCTACCTGATTTTGGTGTCTCCCTGCCAACTATTAGGATGAAAATTAACTCTATCCTAGCAAAAAGCAGGAGATCTAGAAAGAGTTCAGGGATGTGTTAAGATGTGCAGGGATGGGATCAGGAAAGCCAAGGCACAGATGGAACTGAGCTTGGTGAAGGATGCAAAGAATAACAAGAAGGGGTTCTACAGGTTCATTGGCCAGAAAAGAAAGGGCAAGGAGTCCCCAAGCATAGCTCTCATGGGCACTATGGCCTGTGGTCCTAGTGCTGTTGCTAGAACTGCTAATGCCTCCATATACAGAAATGTACAAAGAATAGGGAGTCTATCATCCAGGACATAATTACATAATTAGAAATGAAGTTTAATAAGACAGGACTGACTACAGTGACCAAGTTGGTCAGACAGAACTATGGACCAGCAACTGTTTAACAAGCAACCACCCCACCTTTATGCCTTTATCTATCTGTTTTTCCATCCTTGTTCCTCCCCAGTCCACCCTGATCCCACTTTTTCTCCAACTTTGGTTCCTTCCTTAAAAATCCTCTAGTGAGTCTTATAGAACCCCAAGCTGTATTTCCCTCGCATCCCATAATGAGTACCACATATCAGTAACAGTGACCCATTTCAGTCTATAAAATAATCTAGAGAGCTGCTTCCATTGACACGTCTTGAAGGGAATTGTCCTGAGGGAAAGGGATCACTTTTCTGTGACAGTCTAAGAAGTATCCAGGTCAGGATACTCTGTTTCTCTGATTAGGTTATTGGAGTTTCTATGTGTATCCTCATTATTTTCCTCTGCATTTAGCTTGTCTAATGAAGCGATGCAGAATCTTTTAAAAGGCAGACATTAAGTGGCAAAGAAACTTAAAATAAAGCTTTAAAACAAAGCAGTCAACGGAAAAGATGGGTGTTGGCCTCTTCTAGCAGATAACTAGTAATGGGACTAGAGGGAAAGGCCTCAGGTTGTGCCAGGGGACATTTATTTTGGAAACTAAGAGAACTTCTCAAGAAGAGTAGTAAGGCATTGAAACGGGTTATCCAGGGAGGTGGTGGAAGCGTCGTCCCTGGGGGTGTTTAAGGAGAGGTTGGACATGTTTAGGGACATGGATGGTTTGGTGGGTAATATTGGTGATAGGGGGATGGTTGGACCAGATGATCCAGAAGGTCTTTTCCAACCTTGATGATTCTATGAGTACAGACTAGGAGAACTCATTGAAAATAGTCCTGCAGAGAAGGACTTGGGAGTTCTAGTGGATGAAATGCTTGACAAGAGCCAGAAGTGTGTGCTTGCAGCCTAGAAAGCCAACTGCATCCTGGGTTGCATCAAAAGAGAAGTGGCCAGCAGGTGGAGGGAGGTGATTGACCCCCTCTATTCTGCCCTCGTAAGGCCCCACCTGAAGTACTGTGCCCAGGTTTGGGGCCCCCAGTACAAGAAAGATGTGGACTTGTTAGAACAGCTCCAGAGGAGTGCCACAAAGTTTATTAGAGGGCTGGAGCACCTCTCCTGTGAAGAAAGGCTGAGAGACCCTGGATATGTTTTGCACAAGTCCAAGTAGATAATGTCAGTTGCTCTTGCCCCATCCACCAGTGCTGTAACCCCATTGTAGAATGCCACCAGATTTGTCAGGCATGAGCTGCCCTTAGTGAAGCCATGCTGGCTGCTACCAATCACGTCCTTATTTTCTATGTACCTTCACATAGTTTCTAGGATGACCTGCTCTGTGATCTTGCCAGGCACAGAGGTGAGACTGGCTGGCCTGTATTTCCTTTGGTCTTCCATTTTTCCCTTTTAAAAAATGATGATTATGTTTCCCATCTTTCAGTCAGTGGGAATGTCATTACAGTTCCATGACTTCTCAAATATGATAGACAGTGGCTTAGTAAGTTCATCTGCCACTTCCCTCAGGTCCCACGGATGCATCTCATCAGGTCCCAAAGACTGGTGCACCTTCAGGTTTCTTAGATGGTCTCAAGCCTCATATTTTCCTACAACAGGCTGTTCTTTAACCTCTCAGGCCCTGCCTTTGCCTTCTGGGGCCTGGGCTATGTGGCTAGAGCTCTTGCCAATGAAGACTGAGGCAAAAAATGTCATTGAGTACCTCTCTATATCACGGTAACCATGTCTCCCACTTCATTCCAGATAGGGCCCACGTTTTCACTCATCTTCCTTTATCACCAATGTACCCATAGAACTCTTTCTTATTGCCCTTGATGTCCTTGGCCAAATTTAATTTTATCAGTATCAGCTTTCCTAATTTGATCCCTGGCTGCTTGGACATCCCTTCCAGGCTATCTGTCCTTGCTTCCATTATCTTTATGCCTTCTTCTGTTTAAACTTGGTCTGGAGCTCCTTGGTCATCCATGCAGGCCTCTTGGTATTTTTGTCAAACTTCCTCTTTGTTGCAATGCATTGCTCCTGAGTTTGAAGGAGGTCACCCTTGAATACTAAGCATCTTTCCTAGGCTCCTCTTCCATCCAGGGCTTTGTCCCATGACACTCTACCAAGCAGATCCCTGAAGAGACCACAGTCTGCTCTCCCCAGCTCCAGGGCAGCAAGCTTGCTGTGCTTCCTCCTTACTGTCCTCTGAATGCAAAACTGTACTGTTTTGTAGTCACTGCAGCCAAGGCTACGCTTGAGTTCCACATTTCCCACCAGCCCCTCCTTGTTGGTGAGAATGAGGTACAGCATAGCACCTTTCCTCATTGGCTCCTCTATCACTTGAAGAAGGAAGCTGTCGTCAATGCACTCCAGTAGCCTCCTGGATTGCCTATGTTCTGCTGTCCCTCAAATATTGGGGTGGTTAAGGTCTCCCATGAGAACCAGGGCTTGTGAAAGTGAGGCTGCTTCTATCTGTCTGTAGAGGGCCCCATCTGCTTGGTCTTCCTAGTAGCAGGCCCTCACTACAATGTCACCTGTCTCTGCCCTCCCTTTAATCCTGACCGATAAGATCTCTGTCAGCTCCTTACCCTTCCCCAGGCAGAGCTCCATGCACTTCAGCTGCTCATTGCAATAGAGGGTGATGCCCCCTCTTTGCCTTCCCTTCTTGTCCTTCCTAAAGCACCTGTATCCTTCCATTCCAACACTCCAGTCATGGGAGCTGTCACACCCCAGCTCTACAATGCCAATGAGGTTAAGTGCTTCTGTTTTTGCCAGCTACTCCTCCAACACTTATTCTAACAAGAATCAAACGTCCTTATATGTGGTCATTCATTTTATTTGGTACACAGAAGTTATTGAAGACAGAATTTGTAAGAAATGAAAGAATTAAATTTGTGTTTTTGCAGTGAAATATTCCACTAACCTTGCATATTCAAAAGTGATCGTGCAGGCATTGGTGGGCAGTGGGGGGAGTGTTGTGGGTATGATAAGCAGATAAGGGAATATCTCACTGTCCCAAAATAAGGAAAATAGCAAAGAAAAACAAGACAAGTAGTTTTGGAATCAGCAAAAACAATAATCTATGAAAGCATGGGCTATCCAGTTCCAAGCAAAACAAACAAACAAAAAAAAAACAGGAAAAAAAAAAAAGGAGAAATTAAATGTTGTTCAAATAAAACTGTACATACAGGATGTAGTAACAAGTGTCAGGTAGGTTGTGAACCTGTAGTACTCAGATAATGAGGAAATGGGAGGAATCAAGTGTCAGGTAATAGGGAATACAGGGCTATGCTATGTTGCTACTGTGTGCTTCTGCTTGCAGGATGCCCATCATAGCAATCCCAAATAAAAATACTAATTCACTAAGATATTCGCTTGAACATGTCTAGATTGTAGATTGGCTGTAGATATTTCTCATAGAACTTTTTGTTCTTTATTATATATATATATATGTATATATATATATATATATATATATATTAATATCTGATAGCACTGCAGTGCAGGAGAGTAGCAACAATAATCACAATACTTGTAACTTCTGCTTCATTGAAGGCACCCACACTCCTCTTCATCCCACTATCTCTTTTTAATATTAATCAGAAAACAACAATAACAACAACAAAAACACATACCGTACATCTAAAATAGAAGTGAGTAAGAAGTAATATGAAATTCATATTTTTGTTTGTGGATTGATTAATATTGCAGGTACCAGTGACTCTTTTAATTTTAGCTTTCTAGGCAGCAATAAAGCTTTGCAGTTCTGCATGAAAGTTAAGCTTACAGCATGCAAATGTGGAACAATTTGTTTCCCCAACTCCTCAGTATTAAACTTTTCTAGGCAGTGAGGTCTAAATAAAGAATTATAGAAGTATTTCTTGCTATGCGTGAGGATGGCAGATCAGATTCTTACTGTAGGAAAATCTGCCATACAATTCATTTTCAGACAGCAGCACAGCCTATTTTCATGTGCAGTTCTGGGAATGAGAAAGCAAAATATCTGCCTTTGGTACACTAAACTCTGTTTCTGCACATTTTCACTGATACTTTGGGTTGTTAAAATTAAATTTCAGAAGGTAGTAACAGTGGTTTATGAAGAGCTTTTCCACAAATGACCTTCTCTCTCTGTTGAGACATATGAGACTATGAGACATATATGTCACATAGCACAGAACATGCAAAAGTGTATTTCACAAGAGTATCTGAAGAGATTTATGATCTATACAGTCCTGCTATAGTAATGTTTTGTTGCAATAGGATTGCCTATCTCCCAGCATTCTATTTTTCAGATCAAGAATAAGCAACTGAATCAAGGCCTGCATCCTCCTTCCAACAAAATGAAAGGGACTGAGCAGTTACCCTGTGAGGCTTTGAAGGCCCTTCCACTAAGTGCACCATTCTCTAGGGTTTTAATGCCTTAAACTTTCTGATAAATTCCACAAGGCACCTACATAATCTTTACTGAAATGCCTGAAACTCTTCATATATGTGGATAAAGAGACACCAGATTGCTCCAACAATTGACAGTAATGTTCATCAAACCATAAATATAAGATAAAAATTTTACTCACCATTTAAAAATATAAAATGGAACTAGTTCTGCAAATTATGGACTTTGCAGACAAGTGGTTAGTAAGTTTTCCAGAGCAA